GTGAGACCCTGATCTGCATCTGGAAATGGGGAGGAGCACGCCTCCTCCAAGGCGGTCCTGAGGATTAACGTGCGCACCGTGGGAAAGACAACGGCCTGGTATCCCTTCTATAAGGTGCGTGAGAACAGTAACTGAGCATTTGCCCTTCATCAGGAGAAAGTGTCACTCCTCTTATTCAAGTTCACTTCATGAGAGAGAGAGAGAGGACCTCAACAGGGTCTTCGTGCCACAGTCCATCCCCAGCTTCACCCAGCGTGCAAAAGGAGGCCTCAGGATGTGAACTCAGGACCTTCCCATGTGGCCTCCACATCACAGTGTTCTATTACCGCTGCGCCACCCTGGCCGGCTGAAAGTGTGATTTTTTTAAGGCCCTGTATTTTACAGAGAAGGTGGAGCGAATAGAGAGAGTGTCAGGTGTACAGACAGCGTACAGTAGCCAAGGTTCCTGCTCAGCGTCTGAACTTGGGACAATTGCCAATGGAGAAATGAGAGGCAGTTACCAGCAGCCCCTCAGCCCGATGGAAATGGTGGGCAGAGGGTGAGTGTCCGCGGCCAGGAGACCAGCCCCGACCTGCTCATGCATGCATCGCTGAGCAGCTGGGACACAGGCCCTCAGGCCGGCGAAGCTGGTGATGTTTACTATCTAGGCTTTTTACAGAAAAGGTCTGTGGACCTGGGCTCCAGACAGTAGCTCCCCCTAACTCCAGACTTCCATATCCCTCTGTGTGGGTGTGCGGGCTGTGCGGACTCCAGATCTGCTCAGGGACGCACTTCCCAGCGGTGACGTGCCTGTCCTCATGCTTGGCAGCAGGTGCTGTCTGTTTGCTGGTTTGGTCAGAGGGTACATGCACCCACTAGCGGGAGGCAGAGAGGCACAGGGAGAGAGCACCCCAAGATGGGCACAGTCACACCGCAGTCCCTTCTCTGCCCTTTCTCCTTCCTCTCAGGATTTGGGGCACACATGGCATGTGCCCAGCATGTCCCCTCAACCCCCAGAGCTGGGACTCAAGTTGCATGGTCAACCATGTAAGCTTCAGCTTCCCCAGCAACCAGGCCACAGGGCGGCCCTGGTAGCATTTTAATAAACTAGATTTTCCTCATTTCACAGTGCAGGTTCTGTTGCTTGTGTTAACATCTTTCATGAGGAAGTCACTAGCAAACAAAGCCTGAATAAAAGGTGTTCAGAGGGGCCCCTCAGTTGGTTGTGACAGCTGCCATCCTGGTGCCAGGCCTATCAGGCAGCAGCCTGTAGGAGGGCCTCTGTGTCCGTGTCCTCCCCTTCCGACTCCAGGCCCTCACTGGACATTGATGGGCATTAGCATGCAGTGTCCCTCCACACAGGTACCACCCAGTGTTCTGAAGGGCATGGACCCCTCAGCGGGTGGTGGCCCAGCTGGGCCTGAGCCCCAGAAGTGCCCTGTTCCATGACACACCTCCCTGCCATCAGTCTTGGGGACGCATTCGTACTGGGCCAACGTGGAGCACTGGATCCCCGTGGTTCCCATAACAAACCAGTAGCTAGGGAGGGGCCCTGGCCAGATCTGCTCTCCGGCCAGAGAGACGAGAACAGCTGGGTGAATCCTGGGCCTGAACTGGGCTGGCGGAGTGGTTAGCTGGGAGGGGGCAAGAACAAAGCTGCATGGGCTAGGCAGGCAGGTGGAAGACCCCATCTACATCCTCAGCGCCATGGGTAGCTGTGTGGCATCTCGGGTCCTCTGCAAGCTCAGTCCCCTCAACCGTAAAGAAGAAGCACGCACGGTCATCACACAGGGATAGAGAGGACTAGAGGCCAAACACCGGAAGTGCTTCCCAGCAGATGCTCAGGAAATATCGGCCGCCCTTATCTCCTCTCTCCCTGGCCACCTGGCAGGTAGCGATTTGTGGGGATGGAACGACCCCTAGACTAGGTGCGAACAGCGTGCAGGCTCATTTACCTGAGGGCCTGGAACACTGCCGGGCATGGAGTACGTGTTCTAATGCCTCTACTAGCCGTCTACTTAACCATCCTTATTGTTATCGTTAAGCCATGGAAGCGCACCAACCTCGTCAAGAAATGTGCAGAAATAACTCCTAAAGAAAGTCGAGTACTGGGGAAGAAATGTCTCAGGACAGGAAGTCGCCCACAACCAGATCGCGAGAATGGACGAATCGGGTGAGTCATTGCACGGGATTCGCAGGAACTGGCGGCGAGGATCCGTGCTGCATTGCCCTTGCTATCTGCTGTGGGACACTCCTGATTCAGACGAATGCAAAGCACACTCCATTTGCTACAGAATTAAGTGGGCGGTCACCATCCGTGTCAGGGCCATCGCGAGGCCATTTCTACACACACCGACCACCGCGATGCTCAGATCCGTGCTGCACGTGGCAGGCATTGAAGCCACTTGGAGGTGGGCGCCATAGCGCGCCACCTGAGGACAGATTTATTTGTGCTCTTGCAGAATGTACAGGCGGCCTTGTTTTTCTGGACGGTTAGGGAGCACGCTGGCTCACACGGCGTCCATGGTTCTACATTTAGAATTGTGCCTTCACTCACATTCTTTCCATGCGGCTCACAGCTCCTGGACTGGAAGAAGTGGTCACTTTGCCTGGGTCGGTCCCTCAGAAGGATACCAGCTCCAGGCCGTGCAGACCGTGCAGGGCTCAGGCTGAGTTCTCTGGCTTTGCCTTTTTACTAGGGGTGGTACAAGGCAGTGCCCCCGACCCTGGCACTGGCACAGAGGTGGGGCCAACAGTGTGGGGCAGGTGGAGGCACCTTACAGGAGAGGCCGGCTCTGCAGTGGTCCCCGACCGGCTAGCTGTCTGGCCCTTGCGCCAAACTCTGAGGACGGCTGCTCCCAGGACAGGCTCTGCGGGGCAGCCTTGTTCTCTGCTACTGACGTCACTGACAAAGCTGCCTGCCGCTGCCCCCACCCGCCATGTCCCCCGTCATCTTTGTGGTTTTCGCCTTTTCTAGAATCTTAAACCAGATCAGAGGTCATGTCCACCAGCAGCAAAAGAACGCGAAGTAAGCTGGGAAGAGAGGACTGAGAAGGCAGAGAGAGCGAGCCGGCCAGCACAGGCCCGCTGAGCGGCTCTGCTCACGCGCCCCACGCCCCAAAGCAGTCCTGAAGTGAGGTTAGGAATGCCACGTTTCCTAACACTGGGGCCAAATGATGGGGTCCGACTACAAACCTCCCTGACTACAATGTCCTCGATGTCCCACAGAGGGAAATCTCACCAATGAAGCAAGTCCATTTCTCCAGCACAAGCGTTAGCATAAAACTCGGTTCCAAACAAGTCAATTGATTCAAATGTTCTTTAAAGGAAAACTGGCACAGATGGTCAAGAATGTAGCAAAAATTCTGACAAAAATGACAAAACAAGTGGCTAACATTGAGGGAAGTTCTACAATATGTAAACACATATGTGTTGGGAACTGCACATGGCGTAATGGTTACATTGCTAGAGTCCCATGTAGTTGCCCATGGTTCCAGTCCTGGACCCAGTGGCTTAAAACTCCTGCCAGGCACGTGTGTGTGTGTGTGTGCCCAAGGTCCCAAGAGGAGAATGGAGGAGAAGGGTGGCCATTCCCCCAAGGGGTGATTTCTTGCTTTCATCGCTCTGTCTCTCTCTCCCTCCCTCTCCCTCCCTCTCTCTCCCTCTCTCCCTCCCTCCCTCCCTCTCCCTCTCCTTCCCTCTCTCCCTCTCTCTCTCTCTCTCTCTCTCTGTCTCTCTCTCTCTCTCTCTCTCTGTCTCGCTAGCAAGTGCATATGCACCCTATAGCAAAAAAAGAAAAAAATAGTTTGCGCTCAGTGAGCTCCTTTGACCCTCGACCCCAGGGAGCGCAGGCACCTGATCCACTTTAGGGATGGGTAAACTGAAGCCCAGAGAGGCTGAGCAGTTTGGCTGGTGTCAAATCGCCAGGAGATCACGGTGCTGGGGCTCTAAATTTGCATTTTCAAATGTTAGCTCATATTTCACGTTGATTTTTTCATCTGCCAAGTTGGCCAGTGTTTTGACAAGTGGAGGAGGTACATGGGGTGGATAAAATTGAGGGGTTCACTTAGAGCCTCCCTGGGCCCTCTGAGCACTGAGCAGTGAACAGGCAGCCCTGCAGCAGGTGCTGAAGTTCTTGGGGCAAAAGGCGAGTCTCGGGGCTCCCGGAGAAGGAGCAGTATGGATGTGTCTGCTGGTTGTCGGGGGCCTGACACTTTGGTCCATGGGGCAATGAGGACCTGTTCCTTCCGACTTGTTATGAACATAAGTGCATGGATTCAGGTCCCCTGTGACCCTGGCCACTGGCAGGTTCGAGGCTGGAAGTGGTGACAAGCCCAGAGCCATGGACCTGCTGCCCTTGAGGAGCCCAGGGGGCAGGCGTGCAGTCTACAAATAGGTCCAGGGTACAGAGCACTGCAGACTCCCAGGGCCTGGAGCCACGTGAGCAGGCAACCCAAGGGGGCTGATCACCTCTGCTTTCTCAGTCCACAGGGCAGGGGAGTGTAAGAAAGGGCCAGAGGAAGGAAGAAAAGGAGGCACTGAAAGAGAAGAGAAGAAAGAAAAGGAAAGAGGAAAGGAAAGGGAAAAAGAAAGGAAGTTCTTGCCTTGAATCTGACAGTTAGCGGGTTCTCACGGGCCAGCTTGGGGAGGAAGGGGTGCGCCCTGGGAGCGGCCACAGCCAGGGTGAGAGAGCAGCAGACAGCATCCGTTTGGGGGTCGGCAGGTGGTTTTGGACACAGGTGACCCCATGTCAGGACTGAAGGCGGCCTGTAGGAAGACAGACGTCTCAGGGTCATAGAGGGGCCGGCCCCCGCACCCCGAGATGGAGAGAGGAGCCCTCGCCTGGCGGAACGGGGCTCGTCCACTGGCACTTGGACCTCGCAAACAGCTGGGCCTGCCCCAGCCAACCTCACCAAGTGGACACTTACCTTGCCTCTTCCTGGGCTATGCATATCCTCTGCCACTCTCACCCTGACCCCCAGGCCGGCCTGCCCCTGGCCTGCAGCTGGGCACATTATTTTGCTCCAGAAGTACAGCTCCTTACTCGAGGAATGTAGGCTGCGGTTGTCCAGAGCCGATGATGAAACGGGCTATTTCTGCCCCGGGACATCAGCAGGCCTCCGGCACCGGCTCCAGGAACACACACTCGCGGGTTTTGAATGTTTCCCTAAACAGACGCTCTCCTTCCCACCTTGGGAGATTTGTATTTGGATCTAGGTGGCCGGATAGTTTTAAAACACTCTGGACGGAGTTGGAACCGGGGTGAGGGTCTACTCGGGAGCAATTTCGCACTCCCCAAGTTATCTCTTACCCGCGCGGTCTGGATGTAAAAATAGCTGCTGAGGCTGTTTGTTTAATCTGACTGTTACTTGACACCACGCGGGTGTTGCAGTGTGGACTGCTTGCCTCTTCCACACCAAGAGCACCATTCGACTTCCCCGGCCGGGTCTCTGTTTGGGTAAGCTTCACAAACTTCCAGGTCTGCCGGCTCCGGGCACCGGTTTGGCTCGGGTGGGAGGTCTGTGAGCCGTCGGAGGTGGGAGTCTCGAATCCATTCTCCTCTTATCTCTGGGCAGTCCAGCTAAAGACAGAAAAAGAAGGAAGAAGTGAGGCTGTGGGCAGAGCCGGGCAGCTGGGAAAGCCGGGCTTGCTGGTTCCTGCGGAGGCCTGCCGAGCAAGCCGGGGGCACGTGTGCAGAAGGTACAATGCAAATACGGTCTGCGCTGTGTGGTGGGTGCGGGGGCCCGGGCTCACAGCAGGAGGGACGCTCGCTAGGCCAGGGTGGGCTGGGCATGGAGTCCTGAGCCTGGGGACTGCGCGAGGTGCTGTGTGTGCTCAGGACACGTGGGTGCCGAGGCTCCCACAGCACTGGAGGTGCCCTGGGGACGTGTATAGGGCCACGGTTCACACATGAGCGGCTTTGTTCCTCCAAGTCAGAGTCGGGGTGCTCTGCTCCCCCGTGCCTCAGGGAGCACATGCCTATGGATGTGCCCAGGTCCCCGCGTTGCTGAACAGGTGTTATGGCAGTGGGAGTTGGAGGAGGTGGGTTCTCTTCTTTGCCCCGGTGCTGGCCAGGCAGGGTCGTACCCACGGTGACAAGAGGAAAGTTGGGTATTGGGACATTCTGGCGTGCAGGCTCTGCAAACACGTGTGTCCCCACACAAAGCCCTCCACAGACATCCTGCTCCCACACACTCCAGGGGGCCCGACCAGACCCGCTGGGCAGGCGTGGCCAAATCTAAAATCCTCTGTCTCTCTCTCTCTCTCTCTTTTTCTTATGGGCAAGAATTGGTCATTAATTAAAAAAAAAAAAAAAAAAAAAACGAAAAAGAAAAGAAAAACAGTAAATGTGTGTAGAAAGGTAGACAGCTGTAAGAAAAGTTAAATTTTCGTATCTTAAAATACCCCTACAAGCGTCGGAATCCTGGAAAGTAGGCTCAGCGAACGTGCTCGTTAACAGTTTTCCAGCATTTAAGTCCCGTTACAGTAACAGTTCATAGACGACTGAGGGCCAGGCACCTGGTTTTGTAAATAAAGCTTTATTGGCACACAGCCGCTTGTTCATTTCCGTCCCGCCCGTGGTATTTTACACGGCACCAGCAGAGACGGTATGGCCGGCAAACTGGGAAGCGCTCACTACGTGGCCCTTCGCGGAAGCTGGCTGGCCTCTGCTGCACGAGAGCACGCCCTGAAATGGATCCATTTATAAAAACAAAACGAAGCAAAAAAGCATGGAAAGTTCCTGCCATTGACACCGTCTGTGAGCGGGACCCATCAGGTCTGGGGCTGGCTGGCTCCGGGGCCTCCTGCCCAGCCCCTGGGCCCTCCTTCAGGTCTGGCTGGCACAGAACACGCTCCGTTTGCCGTCGTGGTGCTGGGGTGTTAGCTTCGCCGTGGAGTCGCCAGACACACAGCGTGTCGGTCCGTGCGGCCTGGCCCTAGTGGGGCAGATTGTGCTTATCGGGATGGTTTATAAATAGCCACCTCCGGGTGACCCAAGTCCAACACACGTCTGCCCTGGGGCTTCGAGGGGGGAACTATTGTGCCTGCTTGGGTGACCAGAAGCTTGGGATGGGAGCGATGGTACGTGCTGGGGACGGCGGGCTGGGGGAGGCCTGAAAATGGAAGGTCTGGGTCCCCTGGGGCCCGAGGGGGAGAGCTGTGTGAGGCAGAGGGGTGGCCTTGCATCCCAGAGGAAGGTGTTTCAAAAAAATGAGGCGTGGGCGAATGTCTTTAGTTCTACTTCCCTGCTCTGACCCTGAGGCAGCCCTGGCGACCCTTGCTGAGGAGGGGAAGCCCCACGTCTCGAAATAGCTCTCGTCCTGTAGTCCCTGCCAGAAACCGCAGCAGGGAGACCTGCCCGAGGCAGCAGCGCTGGGCCCTCTTCACCTCCAGCTGCAGCCATGCATCGTGTTGGGCTTACGGCAGGGAAGCAAAGGGCATGACGGAAAGGCCACTTCGAAGGGGCGCTGAGCCACGTCCCCAGCAGGGTCTGCAGAGGCTGAAGTCACTTTTCTGTTTGATGGTTTAGGCCCCACTTTGCCAAAATCAAGCCAATCTAGAGCCCATAACTCAATCCAATGTTTCCTCTATTGGGTCGTCGGAAAAGTCATAATATATTTTTCTGTTTTTCTATGACTCTTCTAATAATCCAATAGTTAGCTGGGAAAAAAAAAAAAAAAAAAAACACCCTTCTTACTTGGTTCTGGAGGGTGAGTGATGTGACCAGAGGGAGGACACGACGGGCACGGGGACCCAAACCCCAAAACAGAGCATGTGGCACACACGCTGGCACAGGGATGTGTCACCTCCATGTAAGTCATCGCTGACTTGGGACATTCCCTGGGGAGGGGGCCTATGTGTGTGACGAACATGGTCTGAGTCACACAGGGCCTCCTGATGTCCAGGTGGAGGTGGAGCAGGTCCTCAGCCGACCTGGGTTCTCAGTGAGGGCTGAAAGCAGTGAGGAGCGAGGCGTGCTCCCCCGGGCCCGCTCATTCGGCCTCAGGGATATGACAGAAGAAGGTCTAAACAGCCTCCCACAGTGGCTGCTCTTAGGACTGGAGAGACCTCCCTCCTCAGAAGGAAGGGGAAAGGGATGTCCTTCCAGACCGTGGCACACAGTGTGGGATGGAGGCCTTCCTCGGCGCCCTCCGTTCCCCAGTGGCCAGCAGGCTGTGCCCACAGGCAGCACCGGGGTCCAGGAAAGCTCCCCTCTCCCAGAGGTGCCTGTACATCACTTTGGTGGGACCCACGGCTCCTCCCAGCCTCCCCGCTCTGGGCTCGCTTTCCTGCCTCAGCTGGCCCCATCTTTCCCTGAGAACCCCTTCCTGGGTGAGCTTGAGCTGCTGAGGGTCGGCAGGCTGGGCAGAGGGAGATTTTGTCTCAGCCAAAGGCCATCTCGAAGCCTTCACCTGAAGCTTAAAGAGGCAAAGGAGACTCTGATTTGCTTGAAAAGCTTCTGCAGAAGTTGTGGGGCCGGACCCGCTCTCTCTCCACTCCCCCCTGTGTCTGGAGGCCAGGGTCAGACCTTACAGTTCCTCGTGCAAGGCCGGGTGACCTCGGTACCACCCTTTGGTGTCCTGAGGCCATGGTTTTGTAACGCGCAGAGGGGCCAGACACACCGTGAGCTCAGCAGGACCTGAGCCAGGGCCTGGCTCCAGTCTGTGCCCTTCCCTCAGGTGGTGCTGCCCCGTCTGGACAGTTTAAAAAACAAGCGCTGCAGGACCAGCAGGTAGTGTAGTGGTTAAGGCACTGGACCCCCATGTGGCCAATGGCAGTTCTAGTCCCAAACCCAGCAGCTTGAAACTCACACTGGGCACATGCTCATGCATGTCCAAAACTCCAAGAGGAGAAGGGAGGAAAAGGGACTACAGCGTGGCCGTCTCCCCTGCGGGGCAAGTTCTCACTTTCTGTCTCTCTGTCTTTCTCTGTCTCTCCAGCAAGCACACATGTCCTGTAGCAAAAATCTCTCAAAATATATATATATATATATATGAGAGCTAGCATGGAGTGAGCACCTACTATGTGCCTTACAAGAAGGAGCTCACCTAACACACTGCCACGTGGACGCACAGCTTCTCCCCGGCACCGTCTGTTCCCAAACCTGAGGCCCCACTCCTAGTCTGTTCGGGCTCAGTAAACACTGAGCTGGAGGCTGTGGACAACCCATAGTCATTCCCCTATGCTGGAGGCTGGGCGTCCTAGATTAAGACCCCAGCAGAGCCAAAGCCTGGTGAGGGCCCATTCCCCAGTGGTGCTTCCTGCTCTGTCTTCACGTGGTGGGAGGCTAGTTAGCTCCCTGGGGCCTCTTTTATAAGGGCGTAAGCCCCATTTATGGAGGTTTCCTCCTCGTGACCTGGCTACCTCCCCTTCCTAATGGCATCACATTGGGGGTTTGGTTTCAACTTGTGAATGTGGGGGGACGCGTAGTCAGAACACGCCGTCTCCAGTGCTGGGCCTCCCCATCAAGTCCCTCCTCTGTGTAAGTCTGCTCCAGGCTCTTAGCGATCTCCCCTCTGCTCTGCGGTGAGGTGCTGATGAAGCACATGAGCGCCAGGAGGCTCAGCGAGGTGAGGGAGCTCACCGGGGTCGCAGGGCCTGGGCCGAGGGAGCACCGGCCTGCGCTGAGTTGCCCACGCCTCCCTCTGCTCTGTGCCAGGCTGGGCCCAGCTGGCGGCTGACGCACAGATGAGAGCCAACACTCTCTCGGGGCCTCGAGCTGCCTTCCAGCAGCCCTGCCCTCTGAGACCTTTCTCTCTCTCTTTCTCCTGGGTCCCCAAGCCTACGCTGTCCTCTGCCTGTTCTCCCTGTAGGGACTACAGTCCTGTGGGGATGGTGGCATTTCTGATTCATCTCTGTATCCCGCATATCCATGGCCTGCCCAGAGCTGGGCACAGAACAAGGACAAGCACGGCACACGCCAGAGCCACCGCCAACCATGAGACCCAGGGGCCCAGGTTCAGACACGTCGGCCCCCCGCCCTGCCGGTCACTGCGGTCTCCACAGCCCGCTCCCTGGGAACTTGCTAGGAATGGGACTGTCTGGCTCTGCCCAGACCTCGCCGCTGTCTACCAAGCCCCAGGGTGGGCGTTCTGAGGAGTGCGAGGACGGGGTCCCTTGGGGAAGGGAAAGGGGACACATCAAGCACTAGGAGAAGCTCCAAGGAGCTGCTGTGCTCATGTCACCTCATGTCAACCATCTTGCCTGGCGGAGGTGCATCTGCAGCTTTAAATTTACAAGGCTAGGGCTGGTCCTATGGCCTCGGGGCTGAGGGAGCTAGAGCCCACATGGTGGACTGTGGTGCGAATCCTGGTCACTTGAAAAGCATGCTGGGTACATGTGAGTGTCGAATCCTGATCCTGCCACTTGAAAAGCATGCTGGGTACATGTGAGTGTGTGCCTTAACTCATGACAGGACAGAAAAGTGGAGACATTAGGGGCGCCTTCTCCCTCTCCCTCTCCCTCTCCCTCTCTCTCTGGCAAGCACAAGGGCCCTCTGGCAAATTAAGGGGGATAAAGTGTAGACGGCTCACCCGGGTGGCCACATCCTGATGTTTTTCCTTCCACGAGGAATTCCATGGGCACCCCTCGTATCTGTGTCTTTTAACCCAGCGAGGCCCGTCTGCCCTGCCCTTCCCCGTCTGAGCCACCCACCCCTGCCTCGCCCCAACCTGCCGCCACCGTCTACTTCCCGGCCC